CCCTCAGCACAGACACGCAGATTTGAAGGACAGCCCTGCCACTGGCATACTTACAGAAAAATTATAATTTTATACTGTAAATCAGAGATTATCTGTGCCCTGTGGACTTGATTTGCTGGGGCCTGGGTGGGGGATATATTGAAGCGAGTTTTTGTGCTAACTTCTTGGAACGGTTTCCAACTTAATGCACCAGATGGGTCACACAGGCTCCACAGACTCCCCGAGCTCTCCGTGAGACTTCCCTGTGTAGTTACTGGCTTAAAAAGGAATGTTCAAGTATATCACTTAGGTTCATTTGAGTAATACAGGCGCAGGTTGATGATAATAAATGCTCATTGAATGGCACATTGAAGAAATGGGAATATTCCTAGATTGCCCAGACCCCATTTGGCCGGGGGAAGGCAGTCAGAGGCATAGATTGTAGGAATGGTTTTGAAACTGGCTCCACCCAGAAGTATCTCTGCAGGGCGCCTAGGTGGTGGCCCTGTTGGTTAAGTGGCTGCCTTCAGCTCAGGTCATGATCCTGGCGTCCTGGGATCGAGCCCTACATCGGGCTCCCTGATCAGTGGAGAGCCTGCTTCTCCCTCTCCCTCTGCCTGCTGCTCTGCCTACTTGTGATCTCTCTCTCTCTCTGTCAAATAAATAAATAAAATCTTAAAAAAAAAAAAAAAAAAAAAGAAGTATCTCTGCAACACGAAGACTTCCCCTTGAACGTATCCCTGCTACTGCTTCCACTTCTGTGGCTGCTGCACCTGGGGCCCTTGGCCTCATGCAAGTCTGATTTCCCGGCAGCGAGAGTCGATTTCTTTATCTCCTGGCATTCGGTGGGTGACTTTGTTGCCTTTACAGCCCCTTCAGCTGGCCTTGCTGATGTGAAAAGTCGCTCTCTTCACCACCATGAAAATTTAGTAGTCTTCTAAAAGGAAAGAATCATTTTCTTTTTCTTAACAATTTCCTCTTTGTTAGGAATTTGGAAGAGCTTTTATGGGACCATTTGAGTGACATTCCGTAGTGTCCTACTTGAAATGGACCACCAAGTGGCTGAGATGATAAGGCTTGGGGCCTTGTTCCCCGTTGTTCCCTGGAAATTCATGGAGGAGTTGGAGGTGCTTGTCCTTCTCCTCATGGTTACGCATCTGTTAACACAGGCGGGCAAGTGTGCAAACTTGGCCGCTAGAAAGCCTGAGTTGGCAGCTTTGCTGCGCCGCTCATTACTCTGTGGTGCTGAGCGGGTCCCTTCAGCGGCTCAGTGTCTCACCTTCTTGTCGGTAAAGTGCAGATAAAGGAGTTGCTGCGAGGTTTACTGTAAATGGTATGTTCAGTATAATCTTGGCGCATAATAAAGTGCTTACTAATTATTAGCTACAGCTATGATTATGTATTTTTTTTTTCATCGTTGTTACTGCTTTCATGCTTTATCAGCTGCACTGATCTATAATGCCAGGCTTTTCTGGTACCGTAGTGATTTCCTCTCTGGGATTGTCATTCTGTGGATGTTAACATTACTGGTTTGCTTCTCTTCGCCCTCCCTCCCTTGGCCCCACGTGCTAGTGACAAGCTTTAATCTGATGGAATAGTCACCATGAAAATACAATGGGCAAATGAGTTTATATCCCACGTCTTCATTGTACTTTAATTCAATAGATATCTGAGGCTGGACAATTTATAGTTCGATGAAAGTTTAATTTTCAAATTTATTAAATAATGCCATGTGAGAACATTGAAGGGGAAGAGATGCTGTAATTCTTCATTAGCTCCCAAGAACACCAAAGCATCCTTCTCACCCTCAAATGGGTTCAAATCTCTTTGGAGAAATGAGACAAAGGCACATAAGAAGACAAGATTATTTATGGTTCAAAGTTCCAAAGTATCAAGTATAGTTGTTAAGATAAATTAAGGAAAGGAGGAGATCTTTCTAGGCTGGCATGGTTTAAAAGCGGGTAGGGCTTGAGCTCCCCACCTTGAAGGATGTATAGGATTTAGTTTGGTGTCGATTTTTAGGAAGTCCTTCCTGTAAGAGTGGGGGAATTTTGGTAGTGGGATTATTATAGGGGCAGTAGAGGAGCAAGGAAACTTTGGCTGGTCAGTCCCTACACACCCGCCCCACCCTCCCTTCCCTTTTTAGTCAACAGCCAACTCCCTGTGTCTGTGTTCATTCCAAGTTCCTCTTGAATCCTTCCGGGGTTTATTTGGCCTCTTTGCCTTTCTTCCTGCAACACCATGCTCTTTCCTCACCTCAATCGTTAATAGGGCAGGACGCAGATTCCCTAGGCCTTCCGCAGCCAGGTGTTCCGGAAACATGAGTAGAAATCACAGTTTTAAGAGAGATTCTTATCACAATAAGAAAATAAAGGTTAACAAGAAGAACAGCAAGAATCACCCAAAGAATATTAAATGTAAGGTTGCTACTCAACAGGGATGTTCTCATGGCCTTTCTTCCAGATTCCTTTTGCTGTAGGACTCCTAGTTCTTAGGTCTCTGGTCTCCAGCGCTCTTCTGCGGCGGACCGAGACACTGACTTTAGCCAAAGTGATCTGAGCTGGCTCACATCCAGGTGGGGTGTGTGGGTCTCAGTTCCTCTCAGGACTAGCTTCCTGATCTTTTCTGGTGTTTTCCATTTTGCCTCTGGCTGCACTATTCATCACTTAGGTCCTTCAGCATGTCCCAACATTCTTGGGCCCTGGAGCCTTCGCTGAGGCTACAGGGAGCCACAGATGGCTTCCAAAGATTCTTGCCTTAGGCTTCATGCCATCAAACCTGACCCAGCCATCATTCATTTTCTTCTTTGCAGGCCAGGTCTCCTTGGCCTTGTGATTTGAAATTGCCACGGGGTTCAAGTCTTGCTAGCATCCTTGCGACTTTGATAATGAGACCCATGATACCATTTGTTTTATTTTGCCAACTCTTTCATAGCATTTTTAATGTCAAAAGCACATTTTTATGTGCTTTCAAAAATAAACTCATTTAATTCCAGAGGGAGATTGCCAACATTATATCAATTTCCATAGATCAACCAAATACAGTAAAATGCCTGCCTTTGTATAAGTCATAAACCATCAGGATAGAAGTTGCTTAAAATTCTCTTTCTGGTCATCAAGTAATTAATGTGATTTTGAACAAACAGTTGCTGTATACATAGCAGATACATGTTGGTATCAGCAAGACCTGAACAGTTTGTCTCCCTTTTTTAACATTTGGACATTTTCACAACACTGACAGTTTTATTTGTAATATGACTTGAGTCCTTTCTCACGCACGATTTTGTTAAAAATGTTGTATTTAATTTTGGGAATGCAAATACAAATTTTTCTTATGTAAATATTGCTCCCTCCCCCCTCCTCAAAAACAAAAAACCTTATATTGGGATATATACACAGTCTCTGAAGTCTGGGTAATATAAGCCAAGAGACATTGTACCAGAAGCAAGTTAATCCAGGAGATATTTTCTGACATGTGTTTATAATTGACTATTGTAAAATTGAAGCATAATTTTAAAGTCTAGGAAAATCACTTTCAAAAGCCAAATGTAAATGCATTTTATACTACTTCTTGACTTTGAGATATGTCCTATTGTTCTACAGAGTAGACAAGAAATCCTGACATTCATCTGAGCTAGGGTATTTGAATGGAGAATCTTTGAATGTGTGCATTCCCAAATGTGACTAAGTCAGCTTTACCTTCTTTTCATTCAGCTTTTTTAATATTAAAATTTGTATTATTTTGTGTTCTTGATCTTCCCCTGATCTATTAAATTGTGTGTTTAGAGCTTGAAAAAAAGTTTAAAAGCACTTAAGAACATTTCTTCATTTTTCCAATCTGCTAGCCACTCTGTATAGTCTCCTGTTATGCAAGGGTATTTTAATTTTTTAAACGTAGTAAGCATAATTGTTTCATACTCTAACTGATAGATAATTCCAATATCTGAAACATTTGTAGATCTGTTTCTGTCGATTCTTACTCTTGGTGTCATGTTTTCTTGTGTTTTTTAAGGTTTGTAAGGTTTTTCTGTTGATTTTGTTCTATTTCCCCCCCCCCCCCCCGTAATCTGCTCATTCTCCTGCATAATTATTTGTACGGATTAGTAGAGGCCTAGGATAAAAAATGTCTTTTTCAGAGGGGAGTACCGGGAGGTACTCAGTGTGAGACCATCTCACATAGATCAGAACTTGGGTTCACTCAGGTGAGGGGAACCCAGGCTGCAAATCCAGGAGAGCTGGCTTATGGCCACAGGTTCTCAGAAACAGGTTTGTTTTCTTTCTCTCTTACCTCTTTTCTGCTCAGTGGCCAAGACCAGCCCTGCTGCATCCTTGGAGGACCAAGGATGGCATTACTTTGGTTTCTCTGTATTTTGAGGAGTAAAGACCCAGTTGATACGGGGCAGGGTATGTGACTGTGTTGTTCTGTGCTCTGTCTTGCTTTTCTTGTTTTCTCTTGATGTTGCCCTGGTTGTTTCTGTCTTGTAACTCTCTTTATTTTCAGGAGTTTTCTTCCTTCTTTCCTTCCTTGCTTCCTTCCTTCCTTCCCCCCTTCCTTCCTTTATATTAACTGAGCATTTTTCTGCTTTTCAGTAGAATTGGTCCATGTAACCTAATGTACTGGAAATGGAAATCCTTCTTATTTGATCTTTAATAATCCTGTGGGTGCATGTGCACCTCGTGGTGCTGGGCTGATTTAACTGAAAAGGAAAAACTGAAAAGGAAACAGAGGCCCAGAGAAATGTAGTGGTTGATTTATGATCACACAACTAAATGGCACAGCTTCAAACTCCCAAGTCTTAAGTCTACTTTCTTTTTCCACCCCAGCCTTTGAGCTTGCTTCTACTGGGTGTGTTCTCAGAATTTTGAATGAAGCAGGCCTGTATTAAGGAGGTCTTTAAAAAATATGCAGTACCTTTTACAGAACTGTTTAGATCATTGACTAGGCAGGGTTATATGGAAGCAACTTTTTCCAGAGGTGGCATTTTAAATGTACAATAGTAATTTGCTTTCTTTCTCTTACAGCTGAAGTGAGTAGTGAATACAGTATGGACAAGGCAATGGTCGAATTGGCCATGATGGATCGGGAACTAAGCCATTACGTAAAGGCTGTTCAGTCTGCAATAAGTCATGTAAGTTTATACCGCTCGCCTGGTAATATTTGGTTACAGCTCAGTGACCTGGAAACAGAAACACATCATCAAAATTCTTCTCTAACCTTTAATATTTCCATATCATTACTATAGCAGCCATTAATTTCTTAATTAAGAAGTTTATAGAAAAGGAATCTTAAGTAGTTTCCCAGCTAGGCCACCTAGGTTTATTTAGAGTGTTACATCTATTTTAGATTTTCTTGCCTTATTTTTTTTGGGGGGGGGGCTTGAAATCTTTAGTGGAAGCCCCTTTGAATGGGAGTAGAATTTTTATGAAATGCTAAAAATTGCACAGAACGTGTTTTTATTGTTATGTTTACTGCAGCATACACTTTAGACCAGGCTGAGTTACTCATTCTCCAGCTTTAACTAATATGCAGCTATTGCAAAATTCATAGGCTCAGATAATATGGGAGAGTTTTAGAGCAAGTTTAAAAATAAAGAAGGCTGACATTTTAGTTTTTCCAGAAGCCACACTTATTTTTGTTGACTCCAGCTGTCACAGAAACAACACATAAGGCAGTTAAGGTGGGAACATAGCAACATCCTTTTCAGCAGTACCGGGTTGAGTAAGAAATGAGCAATATGATTGCAGTACTATTTCTGAGAAGTCCTTTGTCCTCTGAGCAGTGGAAACTCCCCTTTGAACTGATTTCAAATACCTGTGTAATAGGGTATCTTGTACTTCTGATTTCTTTATTTGCCTTTTGTTACTTATACCTATGGGAAAAATGCCAAAAATCAAATACTTTAGAAGATTGGCTACTATTCAGTGGAAGATAAACTTTTAAGAATGTTTTATTACTTAAGCTATACTTAAATGGGCATTACATAATTATATGTTTATTGTTTTATGGAGTTCTGTGTTTTCTAAAAAAATTTTTTTAGTATTTTTTTTTCTTTTTTAATGGTTAATAGTTATTAAGTATAGTATTTGTGAGTTAAGCATATCTGCTAATATCCAAGAAGTGTAAACTCATTCAGCTTGTAAAAGTCTGATGTTTTTTTACCGCTGTGGCTGTTAGTCCTCGGACTGTGAATATTCCTTCCACAGGAAAATACAAAAGTGGATAACAAAAAGCACTTAGACCAGAGGTTTTCAGCTCCCGCTGACCCTCAGAACCAGCTGTCCCTATTCTAATGAGATTCTGATTTCATTTCTGGAGCAGGATTGGGTCACCGCCATTTTTTAAAACTCATTCTAATATGTATCCATGGTTAGAGACCAATGACTTAAAAGAACAAGGCTGACTTTATAGAACAAAGTCTGTTTGCCACCAAGATCAGAGATGGGCCTCTTACATAGATCAGTCCTGCTTTGACCCTTACTTACATTCTGTGGAGGTTATTTGATAGGCCTTTCTGTCTTTACCTTTGATGTTGTGCAAATGTGATAGCATAGTGTACATAATAGATAAGAAAACAGATTTTGGAAGTTAAAGAACTCAATATGAATTTTTTTTCTCTCAAACTCTAGGATTCACAGATGTAGGGACATAGTGGGGATATGATATTATTTTGAGGGAAATATTTTGCACTTTTCATTGACTATGCACTCTACATGCATAGAAGTCACAGACGTTTCTATCTTACTGCTTACTTTGGCGAGGAGTGAAGAATGAAGAGCAGCTTGAGAAGGGCCAGAGTGGTACAGTTCCTTAGGAATAGCGATGGTCTAGAGATCAGAAACTCTTCCACTCTTGGTTCTTCCATTTCCTATGTTATCCTGGGTCAAGAAACTTAACCTTTAGGAACCTCATGTTCTTCATCTACAAAATTCTTGGCCTGCCTATTTCAGAAGATTATTATGTGAATCAGATTAGATACTATATATCAAACCTTTGACTTTCATAAAATTTGATGGAGACATAAGATACTGGGTTTTTGCAAATTCAGACTTCCAAACATATTCCTTAAAAAAGGTGGAACAAGATCTTTCTGAAAGGCAAGTAGTACTCCCATTACTTCAACATTTGCCAAAATTCTGACCCACCCTGTAGTTTCTCTGTTGGTGAATTTTCATGTAGTCACAGAAATGGGAAAAAAAAAAAGTTTTTTAATTATCACGGAGCATTAGAGTGTATTGTTTAAATAGAAGTCTCTCTCCTACTTCACCTTCACAAGATTCTGAAGGTCAGACCTTCAGAAAAGGCTCTGAAAAGGTTTTAGAAGTTTCCTTGGGAACCTTAGAGATGTGGATCCATTTACCGGCAATCTCTGGGAAGTCCCTTTGGCATCCAACAGAAGCTCTCAGATTGCCTTTCTTTGTCCTCTGAGAAAATAGAGCTACCATAGTCTACAATGCCTGAAGATTTTACTTAGAATCAGTATTTCTTTCAGTGCTCTGAAAAAAAAAAAAAAAAAAGTTAAGACTTTGTCCAAGCTAGTTGATAGAGGGAATATTATACAGTGATCCCTGACACCCCCCCCGCCAAAATCACAGTCTCTAAGTCATTTATTAAAACATTCAGAATACATGGGTATATACCTGTCACAGGTCTTTAGAATATTCATGTCAAACCACAGAGAAATGTGTCTGAACTCTTTGGAGACTATCAGTCATGAAGCACACACATGATGAAAGTGCTTTGACACCCTGTGGTACAGTTACTTCTTTTCTCACTGGGACTGCCAGGGAAAAACTTGTCTCAGTTTCATGTTGAGAACAGTGATGTTCTGAACATTACGCCTGATGACCTAATGTTTTTTTCCCCTGGTTTCTAAGCTCTTATTATTTGAGTGTATTGAAGGGGTACTGTTGTTCTCATTGTTCTCAAAAGGGGGCTTCTTGTTTTCAAACATTCATTGAATAAATATTTACTAAATACCTATGTGCCAGGTACTTCTGGGTGCAAGAACTAGGTCAGTCACCAAAGCCCACATGACCACATGACCACATGACCACTTCAGGATGTCTGGAGTCTAGAGAGAGAGAGACAAACGTTTAACAAAGAGCCATACAGATCTTATTTAATGACTTGTGATGTGTGCAACAAAAGGAAAATAAAGTATTCAAGGAGACTTAATAACTCAGGGGGCATGGTACTGCTGGGGGTTGGGGAACTCCTTCCTGAGGAAGTGGTATGTAATCCAAGAGGAAAGTCGAAGGAGCCTCGACATGGGGATCATGCTATAGGACTTCTCTGTCTCTGTGACTTCTGCCTGAAGTGGAGGCATCTTTTTACTGTGTCAATGTCAGAGTTTCAGGCAATTTGGGAAACTAGGCCAGAGAAAGCCTATTTTTATATATAGAAAGTTTAAAATATGCAGAGTAGTTGAGTAACATATGTAAGGCTGTTGGGTGATTCATTCATTCACAGTAGGAATGCCTACTGTGTGCCCCAAACTGAGTAGTAGTGCAGGTCACGGCAGTAGCTGACTTAAGGATCATTTTATTACTGGTACTCCGCTTCTCAAGCCATTTCACTAGCTGAGCAGGGATTATGCCTCTCCAGGTGAAACCTTGAATTGTTATTGAATGAACATTGGTGATGCTGTGCGTTTCCATACTGTGTATTTTAGTGCTTATGGGATTGTTTAAAATTAAACCTGTAGTCCCATCTTGGGGCTTCAGATACCAGAGAGTGGATACCAGTTTGGTTCAGGAAATCTTCAAATCCGTTTTCAGGTGTGTGTTTCTCCAAATAAGAGATGATAAAGGGTCTAACCACTGTCATGGGGATGGTCCTTGCAGCCAATCACCTTAATTCTGGTGAAAAAGGATGAGCACCATGAAGCTGAATGATAGATGTCCTAACAGGCTCAGATTAGTTCCTCACATTATTAGCAGTCAGGGATACAATATGCATCCTGGGTGCTTTTTGATAAGCAGTCCAGTCCTAGAGATTAGCAGAAGTAACCTACACTGTGAGATTCATATTATACTTTGGTGTTTACTTTTTTGTCATGGTGCTTAATTGTGTAATTTCAGTTCAACAAACTTTAAATCTTTGCCAGATTTTACCTGTATACTATTCTTTTAGTAGGGATTGCTTCTGTGTGTTATTTTTTTGGAAAATCAGAGTATGTGTATTTTCCTTACTTTCCTCTGCGCTATGTGTATCTTCTAGATTATGTAAGATTTTTTAAAGCATTTAAATTGGATTTCTGCCATATATTTAGTTTTTGTTTTCTTAAGTCAGTGTTTTATAACAGTCCCTACCTGGGGAGGGTGATTATTTTTATTAACCGAATAAGAGCAACTGGGTGCTCAATTGGTCTACGTGTGTCGTTTCTTACAAATCTCTTCATGGATAGCCCTGTGTACTGTGGTTTTTACTTGATAAGCTAACCTGAACATTTAATCTACCCTTTCAAACGAATGTGGTGAGAGTTAGAAGAGTAGAAATATACCTCAGGTAAACTGTTGAAACCAACACAATCAAGGTATAATAAAAGAACAAGGTGGGTCAAAGGTATAGCTTACCTCAGCCTTGTCATTATGCAACTACATGGTTTAGAACGTTTTTTGACATATCACTTCCCTCTGCTTCCTCACCCTTCACCCTTCATCAGTTGGTAAGCTTTACCTTCTGTAAATCTTATACCTTAACATCCACCACTTGAACATGAAATCATATGAGGTATCTTGCAAGTTGGGAGTTACCATTTTACTTTAACCAGATTTGGGAAGCATTTCTTACTTAGAAAATGAATGTTTTATAGTATCTGAAGGAAGTTTCAGGCCAGAGGATGTAATTTATTAGATACGATCATCTACTGACTAAACAAAAATGTACTTACTCCACGTTGTGAGTCATTGACAAAAGGAGAAGAAGGGGAAGTTAGTTGGGGTTAAAAAATTTGGGGACAGAAGTTTCTTGAGCATGAGAGAAATTAGTTATCAGCAGAATAGCAAGGAGGTGAGAGATGCTGGTGGAAATAGTGAAAATCTCTTGGAGCCATTTGGGAAAGTACTGACGAAGACCCTCTTTGCTGCTCCCCGTATTTGACACAAGATGGTGCACGGTCTTGTACCA